GTAATTTGTTCCGCTGTGCATGGGGCCAGGAGTTGGGAGACCTAACGGACATTAGTTCATAACAACAACACTGTGTTTTACTACAAATAGTCCAAGAACACGAGTCACTGTGAAGTTCAAATGAAAAGGAAAAAGCCTCCTCTTTCTGCGTCAGCCCACCGCGACATGGGCTCACGAGCAGAACATCAAGAAGCTGTTAGCTAGCCTTTCCAAAGTTAACAATCTGGTCAAGGCGAGGCTGAAAAGCAGGCGACCATTAATTGAACAGCCCCAATGAGAGAGCAGCAGAAAAAGAAGGCCTTCAGCAAGATCACTGACCCAGAGGCTAACAATGGACTCAAACCTAAGAACAATCCTGAGGAAGGTCCCGGACAGGGAAGGACTTCATTCTAAGGGACACAGGGTTGCTTTGAGTAGGAATCAACTTGGCTGAACCTAACAACTGAAGACAAAAGTAGGTTACATCCCTTGTTGGCAAGGGCAGCCTACATAGGCCAACAAAGCGGGGCCAGCCCCACAATGGTCATTTACCTCATGTAATCCACTGAGTGAACTTCCAGCACCAACCCGTACCTCAGCTGAGGGTTATTAGTCATCAGAAAGATTAGCCAAGGCAGGTCATTGCAAAACAAATCCCGCCTCTCTACAAAAAGCACCTTCGAACTGAGCTCCCGATGGCCATCAGGGGCAGACTATTATATACTTGCCCAATCCTTCAACCGTAAACACTCCCAGAGCTGGATGTCAAGGAGGACTACTAACCTACAACACTTTCAGGGTAGCTATTATGCAATTTAAAATAGCCGCTTGTAAGACATAATCCTTTAAGGAAAAAGGTGTGTCCTCACTCGAACACCTGCTAGATGTTTAATGTATGATATATTCTTCTTTTAGGATAGGTCAGTCTGCCAGAAAAGACTCAAAAGACTATTGTCTCCCTTTTCCACTCTCAGAAGGGTGACTTTTTAAAACAAGCTCTCAGAATTGATGGGTACCAACTGGAATGTTTCAACAAACTGATGGTGTGCTGGAGGGGCTCACTTGTTTATGCTCAGAATTTTGGAAGAAAGCTCTGTGGCCAACAGACTAGAAGAGATTCAGACCTGTGGCCATTAAAAAAAAAAAAAAAGACTAAGAATGCAGAAACAATATCATTAATTGATATTGAATATCATTAATGTTACATGTAAGTAAAATTTTGCTGAAGATAATCCAGCAAAGGTTGCAGAAGTGCATTGACAAAGAGCTGCCAGAAAATTCAAGATGAACTCAGAAGAGGGACTTCATCACCGATATCACATGAATCTTAACTAAAAGCAAACATCACAAAAGGGTTTACTTGTGCTTTATTGACTATGCAAAGCCATTCAACTAGGCAGATTAACAAACTACAGGTAACACTGCTGAAAATGGGAATTCTAAAACACTGAATTGTGTTTATGCAGAACCTGTTCATAACCATGGGGCAGGAGCTGGAACAGAATGGTAAACTGCACGATTTTAAATCAATAAGGTGTATTCTAGGGTTATATCTCTTCACCATTTATTCAATCTGTACACGACGCAAGTAATCTGAGAATCTGGACCATGTTAAGAGCACAGCAGCAGGAATGGAGAAAAGTTCATTAACATGCAATATGCAGATTTTACAGCCTTGCTAGCTGAAAGTGAAGATGACTTGAAGCACTTCCTGATGAAAGTCAGACTATATAGCCCTCACTAGTTTTACACTTCAACATTAAAACAACAGCAACAACAAAAAACTTCACAATTGGTAAGCAAATGATGATGAACAGAGAAAAGATGGAAATTGTCAAATAACTCACTTTGCGTGGATACATAATCAACATCCATGGAAGTAGTAGTCAGAAAAACAAACAACATATTGCATTGGGCAAATTTTCTGAAAAGATCTCTTGTAATGGTAAAAAGCAAAAGATGTCACTTTATGAAACAGAGTGCACCTGATCCAAACCATAGTGTTTTCAATCATCTCATATGCAAGCGGAAGCCAGACAATGATTAAGACAACTGAGACCTCATACCTCTAAATTACGGTATTGGGGAAGAAGAGTCAAAGCACCAGACTACAAGAACAACAAACAGCTCTTGGTGTTTTGGAAGAAGTATAGTCAAAATGCTCCTTAAAAGCAAGGCTGGCAAGACTTGCTCTCATGTACTTTGTATATGTTATCAGGAAGGAACTAGTCCCCAGAGGAGAACATCATGCTTCGTAGAGGAGCAGCAAAATCGCGGAAGACCCTTAAAGAAATACTGTCACGGCGGCTCCAACAGTGGGCTCAAACAAAGCATTGTGAGGACAGCGCAGGACTGGTCACTGGTTCCTTCTGCTGTACACAAGGGTCACAATGAGTGGGAGACCTCTTGATGGCACCTAACAACCTGCAAAACAGTAAGTGGTGAGACGCTAGGGAAGTCCACAGAATTCAAAAGGACCATCGGTTTCTCTTCCCTTCCCCTGCTTACTCTTATTTCCCCCAGCTATTCGGAGCTCCATCCTGTATCTCTGACTTTGTCTGCGTTTCATCCTCACTTTGGGTGTTACTGTCTCCACAAGTGCCCCGTCCCACTCTTTTTCTCCAATCCCCCAAACCTTATTTCAGTAAATTTCTGCAATTGCTGTTTCCAGAACCTAGAAGGTACCTCCTCTTCTCTTTTGATGGCAAACTTCTTTTTACTTACAGCTCAGTTTGAAGTGTCACCTCCTCAGAAATCTTCAACTACATCCTCATCAGAAACTTTCTATCACATCATATCACTTATTTTCTTGTTTCAACCCCCACGCTCCTGCTCCTCCATTGTAAGCTCAGGGAGAGTATGGACCTTCTGCTTGGGCCCACTTTTATACATCCAGCGCCTAAACACTGGTCTGCATGGCGGAGTTAGTCAATAAACATTTACTGAATGAACGAATTTTGGATTTATCATTCAATGGCAAACAAGGATCCAAATCAATTAAGGTGAGGTTGGTAGTCATTTACTTTTGTTGTATTCCTATGAACCTTCTAAACTGTGACCTGCATAAGCAAAACATTAAATATTCTAAATAAAATGTGCATAAGCAGTTGAATAGGAAACTAATTTGCTTTGTGAACTTTGCCACAAGCCACAACGAAATGTTGAACACCCCAGCAAAACATTAACAGTTCTGTCTTATCAGGTCTGAAAGTCTTGATAAGCTGGGTGGACCCTGCCTCAGACCACTTTGGTGATTCTTTGAGCAATACGCATATCTCACTCAGATACAGAAGGGCAGGCTTTATGGGCACATTTCTTCATTGAATACCTAAGATTTTGGCATTACTTCTATAAGTTCTTCAAAAAGACAGTCCTATATTCGATGGAAGGTTTCCAAAGAAAATGTCAACACCAAACCTAGCATTACCTTTCACTTGGAAATCAGAGATAAGCTGCAGGAGTGCTATCTGGCGATTTGTTCTGGTTGTTTTTAAAGCAAACAAATGATCAACAAAGAAACCTCCTTTCCAATTATTGTTGGCTTTCGAAGATAATATTTCACACCCATTACTGGTTTGGAATCCTCTTTAAAACACAACCAAGCAGATCACACAACCTCACTTAAGACTACCTACTCACCTCCTATACTTCATCGACATGTTAGCAGGAGGAACCAGTCCCTGGAGAAGGACATCAGGCTTGGTACAGAAAAGGGACAGCAAAAAAGAGGAAGCCCCTCAATGAGATGGCCTGACAAAGTGGCTGCAATAATGGCCTCAAACACGGCAACAATTGTGAAGATGGCACAGTACTAAGCAGTTTCCCTGTGCTGTTCATGGGATCACTGCACAACAACACACACAAGGAATCTGCTAAATAAGCAGGATGGAAGCCATCACCAGGCCAATGTGCCGCTGAAGACTGCTGTGCCAGACGCACAACTGGAGAACAAGCGCTATTGCCCAATTGTGGAAGCAAAAAAGTAACATGGGATTTTCTGTTCTCTGAAGTGCATCATGAAGTGTGGGTGGAGTGAAACACAGAAATCCAGAATTAGCCCACCATCAAATAATTAGGGAAAGAGTTGACAACATGTAAATTCCTCACACATAAGGTATTTTAGAGCACAAGACCTTGATTTCTGGGCGATGATGCCATTTAGGAATCCTTGCAAGGACTTTGAAAATTCCAGTATTCATCGAAGAAAATGCTCATTACAAGCAAGCGTAGAGAGGTACTTCCGATGTGACAGCCTGCAAACGAACTATCACAAAGCTTGCCATTAAGGATCCCGGATAGAAGCTGAACAGCAATTTCAAGAGGTAACCAAGGTACTAAGTGCCATTAAAGAGATTTTAAAAAAAAACACCAAACCGAGATTGCTACACAATCACAGGGAATTAGAGTGGAAATGGGTGTGTGTGTGTGTATGGGGGAGGATGAGGGGTGAGCTGGAGTGGAAAAAAAAAATACATTTACCATCCCGTCCCACTTCCTACACAGGCAGAACCGTCGAGTCCCATTACCTCGGGCACAGATGGTTATCAGTTATAGCCAAGGTGCACAGAAAGGCCTTCAGGTTCGGCGGAGCCCCTAATTCCAGGGCTGTTAATGATTAAAGAGGTGGATGGGGGTGGGGAGGAAACAGAAGGCGAGGGAAGCTGGAGATTCACCCACCCACTCCCCCTAGGGCTCCTACTTCACAGCACTCACCCAGGGCAAAGCACCAGAGTCTGCACCTCCTCCCGCTCAGCTCCGACCCGAGATCCCCAGGTGCGGGGTTGAGGGGTGCCGGCGGTGAGAGTCACAGACAGTAGGTAAGTTTTCGGAGCCCTGAGGCTGACACGCCACAGGCTCCCCTCCCTCACAGCCCTTCTTCCAGAGGGGCTTCCAGGTCTAACTAGGCGCGGATTTCCACTCCCCCGCTTACACCACCCCTTTTCTCGAAGGTACCCAAACCCCTGCCCCTTCAGCTCTTCGTCCCCTCTTCCTCACTTACTCCCTCCCCCCACCAAACTCACAGCTGCTCCAGAGGTTCCGCCGGTCAAACCCTTTCTGGAAACGACGGCGGCCCGGCGGGTCCAAGCCACCTACCATCCCCACTCGCGTTTCCAGGCTCCCTAACCCCGCCGCCGCCGCCTCCTCTTCCACCAC